GTATGTAGAAAGTGAGTGCAGAAGAGGGCCCGGGGGGGGGGGTGCCAACTGCAAGCATTGACAGGACGGAAGGGGGCCAAACCGAGCGGCCTTGCGGCGACGCGTGGGGGCTCTGCTCCGGCTCGGGCGCCTGAGCGGCGCCTGAGTGCATGGGGGCGACCAGCACGTGGTACTGGTGTGTAGACTAGAGGTAGTAGAGAGCATCGCAGGGCGATGCCGAGAAATCCCAACAACCTCAGGGGGAGCACCCGAGCGCGACGACGGCGCCGAGCCGAGAACGCTGGAGATAACCGAGCTTGCCACGAGGTGCCACGTGCACGAAGCTTTGAAGGCGGTCGCGCGGGCCGGGGGCGGAGAGCGGGAGGGACGCGGGAGAGGCGACACGCCGACACCGACAGGCGTGTGGCGCAGGCGTGCGTGCGGTGTGGCTGGGGTGGGGTGTCTGTGCTGCGTGGCGCGCGCGTGTCCGGGGGCGGGCGGCCACGGGGCCGCGGGCCAGCTGATGGTGTTGGCGCCCCCGTCGAATGTTCACGGCAGACCCCACCCGACACTAAACACACGTAAACCCAAACATGGCGCCGGGGTCTACCGGCGTCGGCGCTTTATGCTTCCCCCCCGCCCCAGCCTGCGGCTGCGCGCGCGCCGACCCCCCACGCGCAAGGGCCAGCTCGGCCGCGGTCGCGCTCGTCTTGCGGCGCTTCTGCGGCGCCGAGGCCGACGCAGCAGCGGGCGCCGCCGCCGCCTCCGCGGTCGACTTGCCTCGCGTCGCGGCCGACAGCTCGGCCAAAGTGAGCCGCGGCGGCAGCGGCGTCGCACGTGGCAGAGGCGCCGGCGAGTGGGTCCGGCGCTTGGGCGGGCGGAAGTCGAAGCAGGCAAACGAGCCGGCGCAGACGGGAGGCAACGGCATGTCGAGCGGCGCCCTGGCCTGCCGCCCGCTCGGCTCGCCGCCCTCTCGGCGACGCACCGACCCCGCCACGAAGGAGGGCCGCGCAAGGGCGAGCCAGCCCGCCTCCGCCGAGGCCGGCCGGGGCGACTCTCGAGCTCCGAAACCACCGTCCTCCTGCCGGCCATGCGGCTCGGGATCGCGCACGGCTGGCGGCGCGCAGACGCGGCGCGCGAGGTCGGGGTGGGCGTAGAGCCTCTCGCGGCCAACGGCGTCGTGCCTCGCCTCCTCCGCGGTAAGCGGGAGCGGCGCCAGCTCGCGGAGCAGCGCGGTGATCGGAAGGAACGGCAGCAGCGGCACAGCCTGCCACAAATGCGCACAGCCGCGGCTGTCGAGCGGCACCTAGGGGACGGCCAGGTAAAGTGACCGTCTCTCTCTTCTCTTCTCTTCTCCTCTCTCTGTCTTCTCTCTCTCTCTCTCTTCTCCTCTCTTTCTCTCTCTCTCTCTCTGTCTTCTCTCTCTCTCTCTCCTCCTCTCTTTCTCTCTCTCTCTCTCTCTCTCTCTCTCTCTCTCTCTCTCTCTCTCTCTGTGTGTGTGTGTGTGTGTGTGTGTGTGTGTGAGCGAAGGGAAAGGAACGGAGAAGGGGGAAGAAGAGTACAAAAGACAGAAAGAGGGGAGAGGAGGGGAGGGGAGGGGAGGGCGCACGTCGCGCGGGTAGTAGGCGGCGAGGGGCGACGAGCCCGAACAGACAAGCGGCCGGTACGAAGCGGGCAGCAGCGCCGCGCTGCTCGGCGGCAGCACCTAGAAGGCGGCCCCGAGCGGTCCTCAGGGGAAAGCCCAAGCAGGGCAGACGCGCTGCTCAGCGGCAACACCGCCGCCAGCTGCTGCACCGGCCGCAACGGCCCCTCGCCGCCCCACGCCCCTATGGACTCGCTGCCCGCCGCGCCGCCGGCCACGTCACCCGCCGCACCCCCCGCCCACGGCCCGTCGGCCACCGCCGCCAGCTCCGCCGCCACCGCGGCCAAGTCGTGCGCGTAGGGGGCGTAGTGGAAGCCAAAGTGCCACCGCCAGTCGGCGCAGCCGTGGTAGTAGTAGTGTGCGCACCACGCGAGACCTCGCACGTGCGCGACACAGAGCGCGCGCAGCTTGGCCGCGTCGAAGTCGCCCCCGAACCTACGTGCCGAATGCACCAACATCGGGGCGGGAGATATGGGGAGATATGGGGAGATATGGGGAGATATGGTCAGCCTACGTACTGAATGCACCAACAGCGGGGCGGGAAGACGGCGCTGTGCAAGGGGCTACGAGTACAACCGAGTACAACCGAGTACGGCTGAGTACGGCTGAAGACAGTCGAATACAGCGGAGTACGTGCCCTCTCGAGCGCCAGTTGGAAAGACAAGAATGCGTCTTCCGCTTCTACGGTCCCGAACCGTGCCCGGTACTCGGAAGCGCGCCAGCCGCCAGTCGCGTCCGCCGCCCCCGAGCCGACCGCGGCGCCGCAGCACCCCACCGCCGTATCCTCGCCCGCCGCACACACTGACGACGCCGCGGCTCGCGCCGCCGCCGCCGACGCCGCACCCGCACCCGCACCCGCCGCACCCGCACCCGCCGCCGCCGCACCCGCCGCCGCACCCGCACCCGCGCCGCCCGCGCCCGCACTCGCGCCCGCGCCCGAAGCCGCGCCCGCGCCCGCGCCACCCTCTGCTGGCGGGCTGGCGGCGGGCGCGATGCGGCCGGCCAGTCCGGCGGCGGGGCCTCGCTTGTGGTGGGCCGTCTTGCTCGCGCGCAATGCGTGCCTAGTCTCGGGTACTCTCGGGTACTCTCGGGTACTCTCGGGTACTCTCGGGTACTCTCGGGTACTCTCGGGTACTCTCGGGTACTCTCGGGTACTCTCGGGTACTCTCGGGTACTCTCGGGTACTTGGTACTCTCTGTCTTGCTCGCGCGCAGGGCGTGCCTGCGTCGGATCGTGCTCTCCTCCTCGCGGGCGAGTGCAGCGAGGAAGCGAGCGAGCGGCCTGAAAAGGTCCAGGAAAGGTCCAGGAAAGGTCCAGGAAAGGTCCAGGAAAGGTCCAGGAAGCGAGCGAGCGGCCTTAGCTGCAGCCGGCCGGAGGCGAGCAGGTAGCCGCCGAGCCCAGTGCGCGAGTCGCGGTACACGTCGAGGACCTGAGGGCACGTGGTAGGTGTCTCGGAGGTGTCTCGGAGGTGTCTCGGAGGTGTCTAGGAGGTGTCTCGGAGGTGTCTCGGAGGGGTCTCGGAGGTGTCTCGGAGGTGTCTCGGAGGTGTCTCGGAGGTGTCTCGGAGGTGTCTCGGAGGTGTCTCGGAGGTGTCTCGGAGGTGTCTCGGAGGTGTCTCGGAGGTGTCTCGGAGGTGTCTCGGAAGTGTCTCGAACCAAATCAAGCCCGCCCGCTCGGATGGCGAGGTGCG